GGGACTCGATCCAGGGACTCCAGGATCATGACCTGAGCCGAAGGCAGTCGCTTAACCAACTGAGCCACCCAGGCGCCCCTGAAACTAGAAATTTAATTAGCCCATACTGCATGCCAGGGACTAAACTAAGCCCACATCTGCTCTGTTATTTCATTCTCGTGACTCCCTTCCACGCTTGGTTTCATTATTCTCATTCTACAGAAGAAGAAACCGAAGTTCAGAGTGGCATCAGATTGATGCTAGCCAGGTAAGTAGGAGTCCTTCTGGGTGATTGTTAAACTGGACCCCCCAGAGAAGGCAGGATGCTTTAAAAAAGAGCCCGAGGCCACACAGGTTGATACTTTTTAGTCAAGTACACCTCTGTCTTCATCGCTCACATCTGATTGGCTACAAAAGCAAAGATCTGCAATGTCTTCCTATTGTTCTTTGAATTGTTCACAGTGATGTCATCAGGTTGACAAGATCCCAGAAGTGGATCTGGGCTAGTTCGGCAGCAGCTACTACAGCACAGAACTGAACACGGGTGTAAGGACCAAATACTATTAATGAACACATTTGAAAACTGTGTTTCGTATAGCACAGTACATTTCTCCTGGATGCCAATGTGTAATTAAAACATAAAATGACACGAATGTGTTTTAAAGTCACGGAGGTGATTTCTGAAAGCCCCCAGCCATGACACAGCGAGGCATTGTCTGGAGGCCACCGTGTGTGCCAGAAGCTGATGGTGACTCGCTAAGTCGTGCTGTGCCTTTGAGATTTCAGCTTTGGTTAGTCCTCTTTAGCTAACAGAGACATTCGCTGGAGTCTTGACTATGGTGGTGACACATAACCAAATAGCATTCCTTATTTAAATAAACCTGGAATATCTCAACAATGTGAAGGAATCAATACAATGTTCCCAGTGTCCATCTGTCTACGCCCGAGAAAAAACTAACCCAATGTTTGAGGTGTTGTCAGTTTACGTAGAGTATGCTACGTGAGTCTAATTTCCACCCACGCAAACATCTTAATGCCTGGGAATCCTTGCAGACACCAAAAATAGAATATTTACCTTTTTTGCCAGGGATTGTAATTGAAATGCACGACAGAGGAACACACATCTTGATAGAAAAATATTTAAAGGTTTTAATTCTCTGAATACCAAGAGTTAACATTTTATGACTACCCTTTGAAAATAGGGTATTTAGGAGCAATTCTGAAGTTTTCAAAATCAGTAAAAAGCTTCTTAAATCCAACATCACTTTCACAGGTTTTAAGTAACTTTCTTATCAAAGGAAAGCAGCCAGCTTTGGGGTGGGTCTGTCACTGGACTCTGCTAAGTCTCTCTTGGGCAGAGTCCAGGGGCCTTCCCACTCCTTCCATGAGCTCCTTGTACCGTGACACTTTATCACATGTGTTCCTTGAAGAACCATTTCTGATGTTCGGAGTCGGTGCAGTCCCGCAAGAGGGGTACGAAACTGTCACTACTGAACGTCTTCCTCTCAGCCTGAATGCATTTATTGGACTGTACATGAAATAACGAACCATCCTACAAGAGATAATAAACTATGGATATGTAAGAGAAATGCAAATAATTCCCCAGAAAATATCTTTTTCCTTACAATGTGTTCTTAAGAGCTCAGGTGATTTTTATCACTTCAGAAGCATTTAGTGAGCTCTAAGTGTCTGCCCTGCGCTAAGGCGACTCGGGACCATGCGTACATAGGAAGGGCCAGGCGTGTGCAGGTGTGGTAGGCTCCCCTGTAGCCGGAAGCTCAGCTCCAGGGGCCCCAACTCCACCGTCAGGGCTGGTGGTGCCACCTGCTGGCCACTCTGGGGATCTGTCAGACTCCATGTCTCCTCCCTACTGCTCTTCTTTTCGTTCAGGGAAATCAGGATCAAAGAGATCTCTTATTAACCTCTTTCACTTCCCTCAGGTCAACTAATTACATCCCTGGTGATCTCTTTCTTTTAGGTTTTTAAATGCAGACTCAGGAAACTTGGCTGTAGTCCCAGCTCAGCCAGAGAACAGCTGGGTGAGGGGGTAAGTCACTAGCGAGGACATGGGTTCTGTGGGACCATGCCCATTTCCCCAACCCCAAAGATCATGGTCTTCTTTAATGCCTTCTCTTCTTTTTCTCAACTGTTGCTGAGTTAACTCAGCAAGCCTCTCCCCCGGTCCTGGAGTTTTTTTCCCCTCCACCTGTCTCTGTCGTAAGCTGTACACCCCAGGGAACTTCATCGTGGCTGAGGAGCAAATGGGCAGAATGAGTGACATATCTGTTCTAGGGAAAGAGAAACTTTGGAAATAGAATTATATGCAGAAGAATCTCAAAAATATTAACCTTTAAAACCCTTAAGAGAGCTCCCAAGTTGCCCTCAGAGTACCAAGAAAGAAAATGATTAAATACAGCCTCCTTTCTCCCACCCTGCTAAGGAAACGTACTGTTCCTTAAATGGTCACTGAAATTTAAGATAAAATTTTAATGACATTTCAAACCAATTTTATGATTTCTAGCTTGCATGACTCTTCCTCGAGGGCTTACAAACAGCTTCCAGTTAGAAGAAAGAAGAGAAGGAGACGGGGGCAGGCGCTGCAGAGAACCACAGACCGGGGGTGTCTTCCCTCTTATTTTTAATATCAGATGGATAGCACCATAGTGCAAGGCTTGTCCAGGTGGCCTGCAGATTTCAGTGCTAATCATAATATCGTCTACAGGAAAATGGACTCCAGCTTCTAATCATACTGAGAATTAACCCATTTATAAGCAACAGAGACCAATCTTTCCATCCCTGGAGCCAGGGTGGGAATGAAAGCTTCCTATGGAGATAAAAGAGAACTAATTTTTTCTTGTGAATTATTTTCTTTGGATTTATTCCCTCATGTGCTTTTTCGTGAGTCAAAGGATCTGACGGATTCACGAGTCCCATTACGGTTGTGTGTGTGTGGGCGGGGCAGGGGGGGCGGCTAGTGCCTCTCAGGCCTGAAATAATACCCGGTTTCAAATCCACAATAACTATTCTGATGGAGAGCCAACTCCCTCGGAAGGATATTTTCTTATCCTGCAAGTAACAGCTGATCCTTGTAGAGCTTCATGGTTTCCAAGGACAATTTCTGCCACACATCTAGTCCTCTATGATCGCTCCCATTTTACAGCTGGGAAAAATGAGGCTTACAGACATGCAGTAGCTCGTACCTGGGTCTAACCTCACATCCTTCGTCATTTCAACCCCATTTCATCTTCGAATGTGTTTGCAACAGCTCCTCTTTCCATTACTGTGGCTCCAGGTTTAAGGAGGGTGGGACGACTGGACGGGAGCCAAAGCGCTACTGATGCTGGGTGCTGATGCTGGAAGCGGGACCCCAACCACACTGCTAGCACCTTGGGGGAAGTCCTGGGTCTCCTGTACGTGGCTGCACCCCTAACACCCGAGAGGACTAGGCTGGGGAGCTCTACTTCTACTCCCCCCTCGGCAGCCCGTGGACCAACAGCGCGGAAGGCAGGAGACAGCTCGCTCACCTCCTGCAAGATGAACTTCTGATTCTCTGGGGCAGTTTCCTGGCAGAGATGCATGACGAGGGCATCCGTTCCTGCCTCCACAGTGATGCAGGCCTCTGGCTGGTGGGTGTTATAGCGTATTTCCTTCTGGGACGTGTACTCGAAAAACTAAAAACGGAGCAACCAACATGCACCAGTTACTGTCTGATGTGGAAAGAGGGAGATCGCTGGACGAGAACCTGGGGAGACTCCAGGTTGGAAGAAACTCTAATCCCACTCCTCCGTCTCTAGGTGTCTGCCACCTCATCTCCTCCGTCCTCCACGGGCCCCGCCCTGCTGGTGTATCCGCCTGCTTGGGCTGGGGTCCTGTTCCAGGCCACAGACCTTCCAGGACTCGCTCCCCGGCCCAGCCTGAAGCTCAGCACTTCACCCAAACAGACCTGCCCAGGCCACCGGCAATTGCCCTAAACACTGCTTTGCACAGCACTGTGCATCAAAACTCATAATTCTGTTTAAGCATTAATTCTAAGGAAGTCATCTGAAATGCAGATCTGTTGTTTTTTTTCCTTTTTTTTTTTTTTTCTGACAAGAAGTTAGTGGCAGGGTCACTTACAATTGCAAAGACAGGCAGGCAGGGACTCAGTTATAACTAAATAGTAATATAGCCGCATGAAGGATTATCAAGAGGCCCTTAGGAATGATAGTCTCAAAGGATGTCTAATAACACAAGAAAAGTATGATGAAGTAAGTGGAAATAATGGGATAGAAAACGTATAGACATTATGATAATAACTATTTCAAACAATAATCCAAAGGCCTTGCATACAAAAAGATGGGAAGTAAATACATCTTCATTCTTATGACGGTTGCTGGGACCTGTCATTCACTTACTGCTTCTATTTTGTATTTTCCAAATGTTCTGCAATAAGCATATATTACCTGGATCATGCAAAAAATACCAAATGTTTTATTTTTTATTTTTAATTTTTTTTTACTCTGATCTTTATTATTAAATGTTTAATTTTTTTAAAACGGAGAGATTCCTACCAATAGTCCCTTGAGCATAGAGCCTCCTGCTGTCTGCTGTCCCTTGGCCCAAGAATGTCAAGCTAGAGAAGCAGCACCTACCTGGTTCTGACCCATTCCATGACAGGGGTACAGAAGGACCTGGTGTCCTACGATTTGGTTTTCACTGGGAGGGTTATAATCAAAGCAGTAATCTTTCAGTCCTTTGTTCTGGAGCTAAACAAAACATAAAGGTGGCATTTTGGTCCAGATTTATATGCAACATACGATCCCACCCAAGGCTGTGAAGGTAATGACTCCATCAGAGAGGAGTGTCTGCCTCACAAACTGAACTTAAGGGTAAGAGCCCCTTGCATTTCAAGTTTAGAAAGTGCTTTCCCATTCTATACCATAGGCAAGAAGCATAGCCCCCGTTTTAAGATGACAAATCTGAGTTGCAGACAGTTTAATTCTTTATGGCCTGAAAGCTCGTATCTCTCCAGTTCTCATTAGTGAAGCCTCATTGCTGCACTAGTTGGGTTGTTGCCTCAAGCACAGCTGGGTTGTTGCCTCAAATATGTCCCAAGGATGCCTGCGAGTGTGCATCTGCAAAAAGATATCCCGACTGAGAGACTCACCAGTCCACAGATCAGAAGTCCACCATTCTACACTACAAGAATAGCATCATACAGAGCCAATGACTCGCACAAGGTCACACAAGTAGAGACACTTGCGTCTGAATCCAGGACCTCAGCTCCAAGTCCAGTGCTCTATCACTCAATGCCGTCTAATCTAATGTCATCTCTCAGGTACCTTTTAGATCCAAAACCCTTCAAACATTCTAGGAGCAAAAAACCATGCTCCCTCTTCCCTTTCGGGAGCCTCTAGGGAAAGACACATACCTTTCCAAATCCCTTTCTGGAGAGTTCAAAGACCCCTCAACGAACTCCTTGTGAACCCCACTCCTGTCCTGGCCCTTGTCCACCCTTGACTAGTCTGTTTCTGAAGATAAGACTCAGCTATATAGAAAGAAGTTTCCACAGTCCACCAGCTCATAGAGCACAGACTTCCGTGTTCTTAGAGTCTCTTTGCTTTGTGAATGAATCTGGGAACGGGAGATGTTTAGAATAATCAGAGCATCTTAGACTTGGAAGGGTTCAAATGTCATCTAGCCATGTCTTGACCACCAAAGGACCCTGACCTCAAATGAGCTCCCTATGTTCAGAAAGATTTGAAACAAACCACAAAAACACTAAATGAGAGGTGGGAACCTCTGAAGATTAAAATTGAGATTAACTCACCAAGCTAGCTATGTCAAGTTGGTGAGACACAGAAGAAACATTAAATGACTTTAGAACATTCCAAGTTTTTTTTTTAACTATCCCATATTTGATTACATTTTCTTAGTGAACTATGTTCTATAAACAAACAGATCTGCAAAGAAATCTTAAACCTCATTCAGTATCACACTGTCAGTGGTAATGGTGTGTTATTATTCTGAAACTACTTTAAATATAGTTTAAGATAAAGCAAATAATATGTGAATATTTTTTGAAACTAAGATTTTCAGTGTAAGAAAAAAGAAATACAAATATCGGG